TGGGGCGGGGGGTCACCTGGCCCAGAAACCGCCTCCCGTGGGGCGGGGGGTCACCTGGCCCAGAAACCGCCTCCCGTGGGGCGCGGGGGGTCACCTGGCCCAGAAACTGCCTCCCATGGCGCGCGGGGGGGGGGTCATTAAAACTGACAGCACGGTGCTGCAGCACGTCAGGGGTTTCTGGGGTCCCCCAAACAGCACCGGGGAGCCGCCCACATGGCCAGGCCTGCCTTCGCCCAAGCGCTTCTCACCCAGACACGGGCCGGGGCCCGCAGGTGATCTGGAAGCCCAGGGCGAGTCCGAGACCTCTGATGGCGCCTGGAATCCCAGCTGCCCCGAGTTAACTGGCTGCGCTGCTGGACGCGGGGGCCTGGGTGCCGGCGCTCCAGAGCCCCGCCAGGAGGGCGCTCGGCAAGCCGGGAGGGCGCTCGGCAAGCCAGCACGGCCGTCTCCCGGCGACGGGGTCACAGGCCAGAGGGCGGGCGAGGCCGCAGGTGTGACGCGCCTGGCTCCTCCCTGTGCCCAGCGCCCACGGCGCACTCCGGGCGGCTCCGGGAGCCTTTCCCAGACGACCGGGGGCCCCCTCTGCTCCTGCAGGTAGGACCCCTGGCGCGGGTGCCAGGCGGGCGTACGGCACCCCGCGGGGCTCGGCCAGACGGGCACAGAGGCGCCGGCTCGGCGTAGGCCGGCTGACGCGCCTCGAGCCCCGGCCAGACCCTGGGCCTGGGGCAGCAAGCGAGCGGTGGCCTGCGAGCGGGGCCCAGAGCTGTGCTCGGCAGCCCCGTTCGGCGGTGGGGGCCCAGGGGCCCCTAAACGCGCCCACGTCGCCATCTCGCCATCAGCTGGACCTTTCAGCCCTGAGGATGGGCCACGGGCCGCTGCCTCAGACGCGGCCCAGGTGATAGCCGCACAGGCCAGTCCGAGGGCCACGGGTGGCCTCGTGGCTGGACTCTGCTGTGAGCTCGGCCCTCGGGCCCTCGCGCCCAGCTGGGCGCCAGCTCCCTGCCCACAGCTGCCAGCGGCTGGCGGCCGCCCGCCCCCAGGCGAACTGGCCACGGGCCGGGCCTGTGGTCTCGCCCTGGGCCGTTCCCTGCGCAAGCTGCCCGCAGGCCTTCCTGCCCAGACGGGGCCTTCCAGCCACCAACCTCAGGCCCCGGCGCTTGCCAGCGGGTTCTGGCCTTAGGAAGTGTCTCCTAAGGTGCTGGCCTCGCCGGGGCCTCCACCCTGCTCCGGGCTGCACAGAGGGCTGGGGTCC